GGTGTCTCGTCACCAGGGTTATGTCCCGCAACAGCAGATCGTCCAGGTAAGCCAACAGTGAGACTCCCCTTAGATGAAGAAACACCAGGGCCTCGGCCATGATCTTTGTGAAAATCCTGGGGAAGGAGGAAATCCCAAAGGGCAAGGCTCAGAACTGCAGGTGAAGTATTTCCCTGGGGCTCCATACTGCCAACCTGAGGAATTTCTGAAAGGCCTCCGCAATTGGAACATGTAGGTAAGCGTCCCTTAGGTCTATTGAGGCCAGAAAAAGTAGTTGGGGGCAAGAAGAGACCTGACCGAGAAAATCGAATCCATACGGAATCTATTGTATTTGATGGTCTCATTCAAGGGCTTGAGGTTCAAAATGAGCCAGTACTTCCCTGAGGGCTTTCTGACCACAAAGACATTGCAATAGAAACCCCTGATGATCTCTGTAGAGGGGAACCTGATAACGACCCTCTGCTCTTCCAGCTCCTGCAAATAAGAGAGTAGGGCCGCTGCCTTCTCTGCACATCTTGGGATCTCCATCACGAACAACCTCTGTGGCGGTGGTCTCCAAAATTCCAGGAGATACCCCCTTCTCACTATACCCAGGATAAAGGGACTGGAGGACACCGCTTCCCACTGTTGGAGGAAGACTCAGAATCTTCCTCCCATTGGGGGAGCAATGTCATTGCGACTTTTTGGAGCTGCTCAGGAGGACGGAAAATCACTCCTCCCTTGCCTCTTCCTTTTGGCCCCCAGGGCCTTTTCTGCACTTCTGGTCTAATGGCTTGCACCCGCTTCTGGGGACCTTATCCCCCCCCCCCCCCGTGCTTGGAGATTCCTCTAAAGGGGAAAGGCTTTTTTCCTGTCTGCGGTGTGATCCAGCACCGTCTCAAGCCCTGAGCTAAAAAGAAAATCTGTGAACAGGATGCCGCAAAGTTTAACTTTGGAGGCGATGTCCCCCTGCAATGTCTTGGGCCGCACGGCTCTGCGGGCAGTGTTAGATAAGGCCGCTGAACTTGTTGTCATCCTTACTGAATCCGCTGAGACATCCGCAATACAGCCCGCCCCCTGTAGTAGGGCCTGGAAGGAGGATAAAATGTTGTCCTTCGGGGATCCTGCCACGATATGGGCCTGCAGCTGTGTGAGCCAATATTCCATGTTCCGAGCTACCACTGTAGTGGTCACGACAGGCTTTAAATTGGATGGTGTGGAGTCCCAGGACTTTTTAAGAAGGGAATCCACCCTTCTATCCATGGTGGCAGACAAGACTCCCATGTCCTCAAAGGCCAGATCCATCTTCCTGGCTACCTGAGAGAAAGCTGCGTTGAGCTTGGGGCTTTTGTTCCACACTGCAGATGAATCCTCATTAAACGGGAACCTGTGTTTGAGAGATTTGGCAAAGAAAGGCTTTCTCTTCGGATCCTGCCACTCCCTCTTTATAGTTTCTACTAGCACTTTGAGGATGGGAAAGACTCTATGCATTTGTTCCTCCATACCCTGATACATTTGATCATGCAACGTAAGGGGCTTCTTATCTTCTTTAATCTCCAAGGTAGCATAAATGGCTCCTAGTAAGTCATCAACCTCTTCTAGGGACAACTTGTATCTAGAGGTGAGTCTGGACTCACTCGTGGGACCCTCCCCTTCCAAGTCTGCCTGTAAATCCGAGTCCAAGGAAGGGTCTTCCTCCACCAACTCGGCTCTAGGACCCCCCACCTCCCTACTGGTCACCGGGGAAACCTCAATCTGTTGGGGGGGAGGGAGTGTAGTCTAGAGACCTAAAAGGAATCAAAGGTAGCCATCAGTTCCCTAACTGACTTAACCAGATCCCCCTGAGAAGGGACCTCCTCCCTGATCAAGCTCTCAACGCAGGACTCACACAGCATCTTTATCCAGGAGTCCTTGAGGGTCATCTTGGATGAGGGGCACTTCTTTTTAGCCCCATGGTGCAGCTTGGGCTTCTCCCTGGCTTTTTACCTGCAACACAGCAAACAGAACTGGGACTCCCATTAATGACGACAGGGACTGGCCCCAGCCCGTCCGAAACCCCCCCCATCAGAGCGTGGGAGACTACTAGTTGTGAGCCCTCCCACCCCCTGCCCTAGTCCCTCCGACCACCAGGAGGGCTGGGGACACTCTCTGGAGCTAGGGGCAAACAGATAGGGAACAAAGGCTCCTCTGAGCCACCTACCTGAGGCTAGCTGGTGCTAGCATCCCCTGGTCCTGGTGCCTCCGCTCCGGACATGTTCCAGGTAGTGGTCAGCACCACTATACTCACTGTGGAACCTAAGGGGGTTAATCTTCTGCATTGTGTAAAAAGGCGTTTTGATCCCTTTCTTCTCTGTTCCTCAACTTTTTCAAGCAACCACCTCTTATTTCCAGACTGAACCATAGGCATGCACATGCTCAGTTTAGTGTGTATTGTTAGAGAGTTTTTTTTTCTTGGGAGGGTGCATGTGATCAGCACAGAGCCAATCAGCACTGTACAGACAGAGGTCCTGCATCCTCAGAGCAGAAAGAAAACTCCTCCTATAAGCTTTAGCTATTGCTTGGCTGGACACTAATAGAAGTCACAAGACTGCTCTAACTTCTGATGAGAAAAGGTATTTAACAGTTTATATTTACTAATAATTGCATTTCCATGTAGTGTGTACTGAGGGAGACCAGATATAGGGAATGCAGGGTCCGGGGTTTAGTAACACTTTAAATGTAATACATTAGCAGACTGACAATGCTGGTGTCTGCCATGCCTCCTGTGCTCATTCCTCCAGAGTTACGTGGCACTAATACAGTAGTTATGTTACTGGCCAGGTTAATAGGTGAAAATAGAGGGAAAAAGCTGAAAAAAAAAAAACAAAAAACAAATGCAGCCAGCACATCTGCTGATTGGTAAGTTACATTTACATTTGGTATTGGGTTTAATACTGCTTTAAGTAGTTGATGTGTATGGATGATTTTTAGAGCATAAGGATGTAATTTGCCACTTTACACCCGGGCACACCGATCTGACATCCAGTGAAGTCGCACAATTTCAAAGTCAGATGGTATTCCGACTTGAGGCACGACTTGCAAGACATCTGCAGCAAGACATTCAAGTCACACACAGGGGCGGACTGACCATTTGGAAACTCGGGCACTACCCGAGGGCCCAGGGTCAGTAGGGGGCCCCATGAGATGCCCCTTGTACATTTTTCATAGGCTTTTTTGAGTTTGGGCAAGGACACAGGGGCCCCATGATCCCCTATTGCCTGGGGGCCCCATGAGTTGTCAGTCCGCCCCTGGTCACACATGCACTACTTTAGAAACTGGTGCGGCTCTGTCCAAGTCGGAACCGCACCGATATGACCAATGTAATTGCAGACAATAGGGTGCGACTTACTATGCAAGTCGCATGGCAAATTTGCATGGCAAGGCGCACCGGTGTGACCGGGGTCTTCCTGATGTATTAATGATGTATTAATGAGTTACTATATTTCCAATACAGAGTCGTGATGATTAAATGCGTCTGTTGGTCGGCACAAAGGCCACCTCTGTCACCCCTGGGCCGGGGGCCATCGACCCTTGTGCTGCGGCATACAGCAGGCATTGACAGTAATGAACTTGTACAGCTCGTGAGCAACCCAACTATTCCCCCGAGTGGTGGGCTTGGTGTAGCGGGGCCACGGCGGCCAGGCCAGCGAAATGCTGAAAGCATGTTCTAGCTTGTACAAACCACTTCCAGTGTAAACAACAGAGGCTCAGTGGGCTCCGATTTAGATAAACGCAGCTTGTTCCACGGACTTGGGATATTTATTTAAATCTAATTTGGTTAGCTGAACACTGCGGTTTTCTATGAAATAAAAATATATATTTAAATTAAAAAAAAAAAAAAAGTGTTTTATTGGCAACCACCCCCCCCCACCCCCCCACCAAAAGGCGTCAGGACTTGGACGCTTTACGAAATCGAGTGATTGAAGGGAAAAACAGAGAGGTCTCAACAACGAATGTACTCAGAAGGGGGCGGGGCTTGGCTGGTGAGGATCAGCGGCGCAGAAAGTGAATAATGCGTGTTTGATTGCCGCGGTTGTGGTCTAGCGATAGCTCCCTGCAAAAATAAAATGTGAAAATGTGACGATTCAGGACGGGGTCAAGGTAAGGAAAGCTCACGGCCTGCGGCTAGCCTGAAAAACACATTCATCCAGAAGAGCCGGCCATCTGGGATGAGCAACATGGAGAGTTTTCATTTCCCCGAAAATAAATACGTTTCGAGGAAATTTTCATGGTGTTAGATAAATGCATTCAAGTCAATGGGGAAAAGGTGAAATTCAAGTAGAACGAAGGTCAAAGGTTTTTGTTTTTTTTTCATTTTGGTTAGCGTAAGGTAGGGTTTTTTTTTTTGCCATCGGGGATATTTCCCTTCACTTCCCATGCCATAGCCAAAACAGGAAGCGACTGAAAATCCCTCCAAAGTGAGGAAATCACTGGTTGTCACCATACCCAGCGTCCCCATTAGAAGATTTCCCCTCTGTTGATGTTCTGGTGACAACCCCAAATTGTACTTTTACTTTCACTCTCGGCGATAATGGTAAGAAGGATAGAGAGGATGAATAGAATAGGAGAGAAATAGAGAGGATGAATCTTCCTAAGGCTCCATTCCCACCAATTCATTTTTTAGTGCTTTTTGCAGAAACGCACTACAGTCCATTTAACATGGTTTCCTATGGGACACATTCACATCTGTGCTTTTTTGAGCTGCTGCGTTTTTGGAAACGGTCAGGGACTCTTTTTAAAAGCAAAAATCTGCGTTTTTTTCTACAATAGAGTTCAACTGAGAATCTGCTGAAATGCATGGTAGTGTGTTTTTGCCACGTTTTGCATTTTTATTATGCCCAGCAAGAAAAAAAATATTCCACTAAAAAATGAAAAGAAAAAAAAAAAAGCTGAGCAAAAACGCAGTAAAACTGCTTGTGGGGCAGCACAGTGGCTAAATGGTTAGCACCAGGGACGGACTGACCATTTGGAAACTCGGGCACTGCCCGAGGGCCCGGGGTCAGTAGGGGCCCCATGAGATGCCCCTGGTACCTTTTTCATAGGCTTTTTTGAGTTTGGGCAAGGACAGAGGGGCCCCATGTTCCCCTATTGCCTGGGGGCCCCATGAGTTGTCAGTCCGCCCCTGGTTAGCACTTCCACCTGGCAGTACTAGGGTCGTTGGTTCAAATCCCAACCACGGCACCACCTGCCTGGAGTTTGCATGTTCTCCCTGTGCTTGCGTGGGTTTCTTCCGGGTACTCCGGTTTCCTCCCACACTCCAAAGACATGCTGGTAGGTTAATTCCTGTCTAAATTGTCCCTAGTATGTGTATGTATGAATGTGAGTTAGGGACCTTAGATTGTACACCCCTTGAGGGTTAGGGACTGATGTGAATGTACAATATATGTATGTAAAGTGCTGTGTACATTGACGGCGCTATAAAAGTACCTGAAATAAATAAATAAATAGAAAAACGAACTGTGAAAAGCACTGCAAAACAGACAAAAAGCAAACTGCATAGGTGTGAACGGAGCCCAACAGTGACAGACAGTAATAAAAACCAGGCGCCAAGACAATGTAACTCCAAAACGCATGCATGGAAGCCGTGTTTGGCCAATGGGCAATGCAAGAAGACTGGGGACCTGGAGGATTAGGAAAATAAGATGGCACTGACACTGATGGAAAGGACACGGGGAGCTCAGAACTCACAACTCTGAATTTGGCTGCCCCACTAAAAGCCTTGGTTCACACTGGTGCGACTTCAGGTGCGATGCGTGATTTACAAATCGCACCTGAAGTCACATCTGATGTATTTCTATGGCACGGTCTAAATCAATGCGATTTGAAGTAGTGCGATTTCAAAAATAGTTCCTGCACACTACTTCTGTTCTGATTTCATTGACTTCTGTTAAATGAAGTTGCAATCTGCAGTGAAATCTGAGGTACAAATTGCACAGATTTGCTACATCGTGCTACTTCAAGTGAAACCCAGAGGTGGTCAAGTGAAGTAGCACGCAGGGGCGGACTGACCATTTGGAAACTCGGGCACAGCCCGAGGGCCCGAGGTCAGTAGGGGGCCCCATGAGATGCCCCTGGTACCTTTTTCATAGGCTTTTTTGAGTTTGGGCAAGGACACAGGGGCCCCATGATCCCCTATTGCCCGGGAGCCCCATGAGTTGTCAGTCCACCCCTGGTAGCACGATTTCAAAGTTGCATTCAGGGCCAGTTCAAACTATAGAAACGCAGTCCAGATGCATTCTGGATGCGTTTTGTACGCGTTCCAGTATGTTATTGATGCGTTTTGACACATTCCAGTGCATTTTTTATGCTTGCCAGTTAATTTTTTCCCCCTCTCTTTTTCTTCACTTTAAATAGAGACGTGCGTTCCAGTGCACTTCTGGTGTGTTTTGCTGCGTTCCAGTGCGTTTTACCACGTTCTAGTACAGTTTTCTGCAGAAAAAATGCAGAATGTTCTACTTTATTTTCTGCAACCAGAACGCACTGGAACTGCAAGAAATGATGTGAACTATGACATTGACAACCATATAACCTACTTTCTGTGCGTTTTAGATGCAGAAAAAAAGCAACTGAAAGTGATGTAGTGTGACCTGGCCCTATAGGCTGCTTTAACCACTATAGCAGACCGCCACATGTAAATATACTGCAGCAGGGCGGCCGCTCTGTGCTGGATCACCTGCATGATATTCAGTACAACACAAGCTGATCAGCAGGTCCCAGCCAATGACTTAAGGACAGTACCTGTTAGGGGCGGACTGACAACTCATGGGGCCCCCAGGCAATAGGGGATCATGGGGCCCCTGTGTCCTTGCCCAAACTCAAAAAAGCCTATGAAAAAGGTACCACGGGCATCCCATGGGGCCCCCTACTGACCCTGGGCCCTTGGGCAGTGCCCAAGTTTCCAAATGGTCAGTCCGCCCCTGGTACCTGTTGATCGGCTTAGCAAATCACAGTACAGAGCTTTGTGTTTTCTAACAACACAGGGCTCTGTACATGGAACAGAGATGTGGCTGTTTTTTTTGTCCCTGCAAAACAGGGAGTTAAAACAGTCAAATCTCTTAGTAGAAGCAGTGCACACTTGTTAGGCACACAGTTAACCCTTTCATTGCCCCTAGATGTTAACTCCTTCCCAGCCAATGTCATCAGTACGTTGACAGTTTATAGTATTATCACTGATCACTGGTGATGTCAGTAGAAGTTAGTGTCAGATTGCCCGACGCACTATCACAGTCCTACTATAAGTTGCTGATCACCTCCATTACTAGTATAAAAAATAAATAACTTTCAAAAACTATAACTTTCACACAAACTAATCAATATATACTTATTGGGATATTTATTTTACCAAAGACATGTAGCAAAATATCTTTTTGGCCTAAATTCATGAAGAAATTTGATTTTTAAAGCAGAAAATAAAAAATATTGTTTTTTCAAACTTTTCAGTCTTTTTTCGTTTACGTAATAAAAAACCCAGAGGTGGTCAAATACCACCAAAAGAAAGCTCTATTTGTATGAAAAAAAATATATAAGTTTCATTTGGATACCCTGTGTCTCTGTGCTTCTCTATGCAATGCAGGCAGATCTTAGCTGGTAGCAGGGTCTGGCTCTTAGGAGAAGTTATGCAAGCATCAAAATGCCTTAATGGGTGGATGTTATTCTGGAGGAGTGGGAGATTCTAGGCAGGCTGTAGTTGCATGAAGTCTTCCCTAGGTAACACCCACATGTGATACTGAGCCTCATTGATTGACAGAAGTGAAATCCAATGAATGAAAGTGTTGGTTACGCATTAACATTACACTTGGATCTTGAGGAATGTAGAATTCAGCTTTACTTGTATAGGAGACCAGCATACAGGTGTGAGAACAGAAAAGACTCCCGTCCTGGGGAGACTCTACATACACATACCCATAGTATATCACTACAGCGCCACCTATGGTCTGGAGTGCATAGTACATCATGCTGTTGCACTTCCAAAAGAAAGGCGGGCCAGAGGCAGTACAGTTGGGAAGGAAAGTGCTGGATGATGCTGGATGTCCTTCTGCCAGGAAATGAGATGGGCTCTACTGACTTGCTGCAGCTTCTAGTGCACATTGTGAGAAGCCGACAGTGTGCAGTGAAATCAGAATAGGCTATTTCGTTACAGGAGAGGAGCCGGTACAACTGTGCCGGACTGAAGGGCAGCTTTAAGATGTCTTGTATACCACTGTGGTCCAAATATATATACTGAACTCAGTTAATGAGACTTTTTAGAAATGTTCTACTTGTTCCTAGGTCCACAATCTAGAGACAGCACGTAAAAATGTCCTTCTCTCTTCCCACTGACCGCGAATCTGCGGTTTTCTATGAAAATATATAAAAAGATTGTACTGTTGATGATTAGAACATATCAAGCAATTAATAGGAAAATAAACAATGTCTAGTAATTGTCATGCTGAGTCAAACAACCGGCTTGTTATCTGATTGGGCTGTAGCTTTAGTTTTGTATCCAAATAGCGCAGGATCTCACGGAACGGTTTATTTGCTGAAATTGATTGTGAATTCTTCAGATGTGGAGCCTGCTTGTTCTGTAAAATGACCCCTCTTCTCCGTGACCACTATAGTAAAATTCACAGTGTTTGTAAAGGAAACCTATTTAATGCTGAACTCCGGGATAAGCAAATATTCTCCAAATCCAATCATCATGTGTGTTGTTCCTTGAATCTTGGTGGGTTTTGTGTATTGCTTTTAGATCTGTGCTGCAATCCAGTGTGAAAGTTTACTTCCTGTAATAAAGACCGGTCACTGCTGCTCTCCCTCTCCTTGTGCAGGGTGACTGGTCTTGTCTCCGCCCCCTCCTGTAGTTTTCTGCAGGCAGCCTGTAGTGGGTGGAGCCTTCTGCCCTCCCATAGCTATGCTCTATGCACAGGCTATGACCAGCACAATGATGAGGTCACAGATACTTTTAGAAGGTAATAACTGTGTTTGCAAAGGTATTTGGTGATTGCAAAGTGGATTTATATCCTTTGTTGCGTCAAAGTAGGGCTGTCGTCTCATCCCTTTAAAACCAAACACATTAAATACAGAGATTCTGAGGCTAATTTATTGCACATAAGGCACTCAGGGCTCTTTCACACGGGCGTTCTGTATGTCCGCTTTCCATTTGTCCGTTTATGCATGAAAAATGGACACCCATGTATTTCTATGGACTAGCGGATGTAAACAGATGATCATCCGTTTACCACTTGTCCTCCTGAGGATTTACCCTCCTTCCTGACCAGGCCATTGTTTGCGATACAGCGCTGCGTTACTGTAAAACTGACAATTGCGCGGTCATGCAACGCTGCACCCAAATGAAATTTATGTCCTTTTTTTCCCCACAAATGGAGCTTTCTTTTAGTGGTAAATCTCAGAATAAGTGAGCGCTTCAAACAACTAATAAAATCAATTAGTGAATAAAATGAATAAATGAAGAAAGCAGCTGAACACCAAAAGGTACCATATAAACCTTCATAATAAGAAATGCATACGAGGGAGAGGTGCAGCGCTAGCTGAACAAATATAACTTATATACTTAATAAATATACACTAATATAAAGTGCTATTAAAGTGCAAAACGGTGACTAAATGACAAGTATAGTCCGTAGCGTGCTCAAAAATCCAAGAGAGTCCTTAAAGAGCTCCAATCCCTGGATTCGTGGATGAGGTGATAAAGATAAGAATTGCGCACTCACCAGATACGCAATTCAAGTGCGCATTTAAAGCTGATAATTCCAGGGTCCTCATATGGATCTGGTCAGATCTGGTCACAGAAGCCTCTCGCCACCTGGTAGTGTTTTCCACACATGGAAGAAAGGGGCCGCTCTGCAGATGTAAAGGACTCCCACCAGGAGAGCCCCAAGAACAAAGGAGGCCAGATAGTGTGATACCTTATACACAAGGGGTGTTTTATTCCCAAAGACACATAGTATACAGGCAGAGGCAGGGAAGATACTGACCATACATAGGATAATAAATGGCCGCCGGGGCCCTCGTGGCGCCGGTCGGCGTGACGTCACACCGCTTGTAGCCGCTCCCTGATGTCGTTTCGTGCGAAGGCACGTAGTCATAGGGGGTTAGCTTACTTTCTTTTAGTGGTATTTGATCGCCTGTGCGGTTTTTATTTTTTGCGTTATAAACAAAAAAATACACAGGGACCGGAACACGGAAGCCGGATGCCGGCAGGGCACAGGACAAAGCAGTAGGGACTTACCATGTGGCTCAGGGATTCCCTGCAGCACTTACCTTGTCCTTCGCTCCCACGATGTGTCCCCTGCAGCGTCCCCGGCCATCTCCTCCGGCCGATGCCGGCATCCGGCTTCCGTGTTTCGGTCCCTGTGAAATCGGGACGTACGGGTGCCGGAACCGGTGGCAAATTTGAATATTTTAAAAAATGTCATTTTTTTAAAAATGACTATTACATAGTAATGCATTTCACATATATTTTGTCCCTACTGCTTTGTCCTGCGCCCTGCCTGCATTTTGACTGTTCTTTCTGCCTGGAAACTTAGAAAAGTCCATGGCGTCCAAAAAGCGTCCCTTTACGTCAAAAGCGGTTTTAGACCAGCTAGAGAACAGCGATAGTAAATCAGAACCACTTTCAGAACTGAGTGATAATGATTTGTGGGGAAATTCGTCATCAGACACTGAAAACGATTTTGCGACTTTGCTCAGCGATGTGCGAATTTGCCTCTGTATTTCAAATTTCAGTGTTTTTGGTTTGATTATATTATTGAATTAAATGTATTATTATTATATTATTATTTTTTATGATTATTTATTAAATTATAATTTATGATTTATTGTTTCAAATTTTATCCTACCAGGGATGTTTACTAGACTCTTGTTCGGGCAGCAGATTTCAGTGAGTTATTCCTAAAAATTACAGCCTACAATAAAAAACTACATATTTCCATGCAAAAAAATGGTACCGCTTTCAGCAGAAAAAATCATAAATAATCATACCGCCAGGGAGGTTAATGAACCGTCTATGGCCTGCATTAGAGGCGATTTTCTCACACTTCTTGTTGAGTCTATAGGACATATAATGAAAGGACGCAGGTACAATCTGACGGGGTTTAAACTCTGTTTTAAATTAATTTCTTTAGCACTTCACGTGTAGAATAGTTTTTTTTTCATTTTCTTGCATTTTTTTGCTAGAAAATTACTTACAATCCCCCAAGATAAGTGCATATTTCATGGAAGCAGAGGACCTGGAGAATAAAATGGTGGCAGGTGCAATGTTTTTTTTTGCTTTTTGATATTTGTGGAACTGTTTATGAAATCTACTGTATATTATAAAGGAAAAAAATACATTAAAATGAAATTGTATTATAAAAAAAAAACACAAAACAATACACACATTTGTTATAAAATATCAAAGTTGGGGTTGCATCAAGTAAATAGATCCCAAACATGTCAAACCTGAAAACTGCACACACCAATGAAACAGTGAAAAACTATAGCACTCAAAAATATCAAAGCTTTTACAGGTTAATGGTTATCAGTTTGGTGCAGGGGCGGACTGACAACTGATGGGGCCCCCGGGCAATAGGGGATCATGGGGCCCCTGCAGGGGCGGACTGACCATTTGGAAACTTGGGCACTGCCCGAGGGCCCGGGGTCAGTAGGCGGCCCCATGAGATGTCCCTTATACCTTTTTCTTAGGCTTTTTTGAGTTTGGGCAAGGACACAGGGGGCCCATGATCCCCTATTGCCCTGGGGGCCATATGAGTTGTCAGTCCACCCCTGGGCCCCTGTGTCCTTGCCCAAACTCAAAAAAGCCTATAAAAAAGGTACCAGGGGCATCTCATGGGGCCCTCTATTGACCCTGGGCCCTCGGGCAGTGCCCGAGTATCCAAATGGTCAGTCCGCCCCTGGTTTGGTGTTAACAGCAGTTGATGTCCCTAGAACTATTTCGCTCACTCCGTTTGCTGCAATGCTTCAAATGTGTGGCACAATCGCTGTTTATACACTCACTGGCCTCTTTATTAGGTACACCTGTTCAATCGCTTGGTAACACAAATCGCTAATCAGTCAATCACATGGCAGCAACTCAATGAAAATGCATTGAGTAGGAAATAGGAATCTAGACGTGGTGAAGACAACTTGCTGAAGTTCAAACCAAGCATCAGAATGGGGAACAAAGGGGATTTCAGTGACTTGAATGTGGCATGGTTGTTGGTGCCAGACGGACTGGTCTGAGTATTTAAAAAACTGCTGATCTACTGGGATTTTCACACACAACCATCTCTAGGGTTTACAAAGAATGGTCCGAAAAAGAGAATTATCCAGTGAGGCAATTGTGTGGACAAAAATGCCTTGTTGAGGTCAGAGAATGGCCATCCCTTTATGACTACAGTGTACCTATCTTCTGATGGCTACTTCCAGCAGGATAATGCTTTTAATAATTCCAACACCTTGTTGAATCTATTCCACAAAGAGTTAAGGCAGTTCTGAATGCAAAAGGGGGTCCAACCCGGTACTAGCAAGGTGTACCTAATAAAGTGGCCGGTGAGTGTATGTCTGTGCCCTACATGAGTGTTTGCATTATGTGCACAAGGAGACACAGTTGCTTTTACTTTTTTTTAAAATATTTTTATTAATTACAATTTACACTTTAAAAAAAATCTGGTTCCCAGGCCAGTCGGCTTCTACACCCCAGAGGATCTCAGCAGTCTAATTGGCTTGTAGTGTAATCTAACAAAATGAAACTGAGCTAAGGGTCCAGATGCAACTTTATTACAAGAAGTCAGGTGGACAATCCAAAGAGTATTCAACGCATTTCAAAGCTCCAAAAATGCCTTCATCAGGGCATATTGTATTAATATCAGATTGTAAATGGAGATGTCCTTATGTTTTTCTAATCTTGATAGAGGGGTTTTTGGACCCCCAGAATGTATTGGCTATTTTTGGGATTGTCTACTTGACTTTTATTGGAATAACGGTGTATTTTGACCTCTTTGCAGTGGTGTGGCGCTTTAATTTCCATTTTTGTTTTACAGAAAAAAACAGGAAGGCATGAATTGCGCAGGGGACTGGCAGGATCACCAGGAATTTAGTCACGGTTTTCCAGCATATATTATTAGGAACCTAACTTTATCTAATGTGGGGGACAGAGGGATCCATTGCTGACACTTTTGATCTTACATTTACATACACTTGGTCATACATGCTTCGATTTTATTATCCATTTGATGTGTGATTCGATCAAACGAAAGAGTAACTTCCCTTCAAATCAGTTTGGAGTCTATTAAGATTGGATTCAATCAAAATGAATTGATTGGTCATGGTGGAAAATTACCGTATTGGTTGTGTAATTAGCAGCACTGAGATGCTTTGTTCATGAATAATTTCATATTTATATCGATGGACTATGAGATTGTATGGTAACAACAAAGATGTTATTGATAACGTATGATTGTATCGTTCAACTATCATTTAAATTCCGCTTCCCTATGCGTGACATATCAATCAAATTGGGCTGTCGACAATAAATCGATTATTCTGATCAGTACTGATCAATCCTAACAGAAATTGATTATTTATGCAATTGATAACTTACAGTCATATGTTCCATCTATTAGATTATTCTGATCAGTAGAGATCAATCCTAAAAGGATACAATCATTTATGTGATTGATAACTTACGATTGTATCTGCCATCTATCATTTGAAAACCACTTCCCCATGTGAGGCATATAGATTGAATGAGGTTGTCGGCTATAGATTGATTATTCTGATCAGTAGCGATCAATCCTAACAGAAATTGATCATTTATACAATTGATAACTTACAGTTATATCTTCCATCTTTTAGATTATTCTGATCAGTAGAGATCAATCCTAAAAAGATACAATCATTTATGTGATTGATAACTTACGATTGTATCTGCCATCTATCATTTGAAATCCACTTCCCTGTGTGTGGGATAGTCATCAAATTGGGGTGGTTGACTATAAATCAATTATTCCGATTGGTAGACAGCAATCCTAAAATAAATCAATCATTTACGCAACTGTTAAATTATGATTGTACTATCCAACAATCAATCAAAATCAACTTCCTTGTATGTGGCATATGGATCAAATGGGGTTGTCGGATATTGATTGATAATTATTCTGCTCAGTAAAGATCAGTCTTAAAAGAAATTGATCTTTTATGTGATTAATAACTTACAATCATATCTTCTAACTATCATTTGAAAACCACTTCCCCATGTGAGGCATATAGATCGAATGAGGTTATCGGCTATAGATCGATTATTCTGATCAGTAGCGATCAATCCTAAAAGAAATTGATCATTTATGCAATTGATAACTTACAATCATATCTTTCATCTATCATTTGAAATCCACTTCCCTGTGTGTGGGATAGTCATCAAATTGGGGTGGTTGACTATAAATCAATTATTCCGATTGGTAGACAGCAAACCTAAAATAAATCAATCATTTATGCAACTGTTAAATTATGATCGTACTATCCAACAATCAATCAAAATCAACTTCCTTGTATGTGGCATATGGATCAAATGGGGTTGTCGGATATTGATTGATTATTCTGATCAGTAAAGATCAGTCTTAAAAGAATTTGATCTTTTATTGATTAATAACTTTTTTATGTGATTAATAACTTACAATCATATCTTCTAACCATCATTCGAAATCCACTTCCCTGTATGTGGTGTATAGATCCGATGGGGTAGTCAACTATAGATTGAATATTCTGATTGATAGAGATCAATCCTAAAAGAAATCGATTATTTATACAGTCGATTACTTATCTCTATCCCTGCCCAGCCTGATGCGTGTCACGGTTTTTTTATACTTTCCCCCTTCTTGGCTGATGTTCCCACGCTTTCTCAGGGTTTTTATTTACTAGCTCTGTGAATACCGTATCTCATGTTTTCACATAATAATAATATTAAACAAGATTGTACTGTAAATACTGAAAGCAACTATAACTAAGCGAAATGCAATGCGTGAACTGAATGATGTCACTCTATAGTGTAGCACGGCGCTCAAGGTTACCGTCTCCTTGGCGGTGGTGTATCTGCTGTACAAGGCCACAGTAAATCAGGCCTCAGAGCCAGCTGGCAGTGACGTATCCTGTATTTTGTTTTACTCTGCAATGTAACGTGTATCATTATCAGGAGGACGATGTGCCTGTCTCAGGATACCGGAGGCAGCGCTGAGGCCTACCTACAATTACATTCTCTGAGCCCACGCCGCACAGCTGTTGTGCTATCATTACCGCAGATTATCTGGAGAATGAAGACTTCTCCTTCTCTGCCTGAAAGGAGGACTGTCTGTGTTGCACAGAGCAACTAACTAGAGTCCAACTGATGTTTTTTGCATTGCAGACTTGAAAATAAAAGAGCAATTTGGTTACAGCTCCAAAAAGTGGATTTAGGCCACCAGAAAAGATGGGATTTGTCAGAACTACCGTACACGCCATTGTAATCAATGTAAAAAGACAACAGCAAAAAAAAAAAATGTTGCATAACTGCACAAGGATCATACAAATGATGGTAGTATTATTTACATTTCTGTCCACATTTATGGATCATTGCAGTAGCAGGGATTATATGCATGCCATGGAAGGACCTAAACTCCCTTCTATTGAATGGGGCCATGCTGCAACCACGTGCAGTGAAGGCCTATGCCCCAACCTACTGGATTTCCATGGGACTGTCTCATGATTTGAAGCAAATCCCTGGGCAGGGACGGACTGACAACTCATGGGGCCCCCGGGCAATAGGAAATCATGGGGCCCCTGTGTCCTTGCCCACACTCAAACTACACCTAAAAAAGCCTATGAAAGGTACCAGGAACATCTCATGAGGCCCCCTGCTGACCCCGGGCCCTCGGGCAGTGCCCGAGTACCCGAATGGTCAGTCCACCCCTGGTCCCGTGAACCCACTCCATGTTCTGACCCCAAGTGTTCTAGCAGTGTCGGTATCTGGCCAGCACCCATACAGGAGAGTGGGGATAATCTATCCCCATTTCTTTTTCTAGTCATGTGAAAACCCAACATAGTTTAGAACCGCAAGGGAACCCTAGTATATGCAGTAGAATTCCTCAGTTTGCTCTGAGATGCAGAGCTGGTCTGTGGTCTGAAGGGGTTATGGAGGGAGGAGGGGAGAGCATAATCTAAAGCAGCCTTTCTAAACCTTTTCAATGCAGAGGAACCCTTGACATAACTTTCCGGTCTCAGGGAACCCCTGATAAAATGCCTTTATCCACAATTCATGATACATTAGTGTGATAGTCAGAGGTAAGAATGCTCCCTATACTTGTGGTCATTGGGAAGAATTACCCCCTTACAGATTGCTAAAAAGATAAATAGTGTCAGTGGGAACTTATCTGAGAGGCAAAAATTGCTCAAGGAACCCCTGGCAACCTCTGTAGGAACCCTATGGTTCCACAAAACCCTGGTTGAGAAACCCTGATCTAAAGTGTTAAAAGGGGCTGATCTTGGGTTAGAAAAGGATTGTAAAGGGGACTGATGTGAGGCTGAAGGGATTGAGGTGTGGCTCATCTGGGGTCTGAATGTTAGGATGGGGACTGCTGATCTGGGATCTGAAAGTTATGGGAGGTGGTTGATCTGGGCTCAAAATGATAGGGGAATGATCTGGGTTCTGAATGTTAAGGGGAAGGGCTTATCTGGGCTCTGAATGTGAAGGGGAACTGATCCAGGGTCTGAAATTTATGTGGGGCTGACCTGGAGTCTGAATGTCAAGAGGGACTGATCTTGTCTGTTTGCTGATAGGAGAAAGAGTCTGATAGTTATGTAGGTGGACTGATCTGGGGTCTGAATGGTAAGGGGGCTGATCTGGGTTCTAAAAGGTATGGGGGGGCTGATCTGAGATCTGAACATTAAAGGGACTTATCTGGGATATGAAAGTTAAGGGGACTGATCTGGGATCTAAATGTTAGGGGTGGACTGATGTACGTTCTGAATGTTAGGGGGGTAACTTATTCGAGGCCTAAATGTTAGGTGGGGCTGATCTGGGGTCTAAATATTAAGGGGGCTGATCTGGGGGCTGAATGTTAACAAACGCCTTTATTTTAATCTTTCTGACCACTGACAGCTAGGGGATGTTCTCCTACCACTGAGCACTGATTCTGGGGAATGTTCTCCTACCCCTGACCAGTAATGCTGGAGAATGTTCTCCTACCACTGACCCCTGATTCCAGGGCAAGTTCTCCTACCACTGACCACTGATGTTGGGGAATGTTTTCCTACTATTGACCATAGATGCTGGAGAAAGTTCTCCTACTACTGACCATTGATGCTGGGTAATGATCTCCTATCACTGACCCCTGATTCCAGGGCAAGTTCTACCACTGACCACTGATGCTGGGGAAAGTTCTCCTACTACCGGGAAGGTTCTACCACTGACCCTACTGGGTATGTTCCTGACCACTGGAGTTCTCCTGGATGGAAGGTTCTCATACCACTGACCACTGATGCTGGGTAATGTTCTCTGACCACTGATTCCATGGCATGTTCTTCTACCACTACCACTGATGCTGGGGAATGTTCTCCTACTACTGACCATGGATGCTGGGGAATTTTCTCATACCACTGACCACTGATGCTGGGGAATATTCTCTGACCACTGACTCCATGGCCAGTTCTCCTCTCCTACCACTGATGCTGAGGAATGTTCTCCTGCTACTGACCATGAATGCTGGGAAATGTTCTCATACCACTGACCACTGATTCTGGGGAACGTTCTCCTACTACTGACCACTGATGCCGGGGGATGTTCTCATACCACTGACCACTGATGCTGGCAAATGTTCTCCAACCACTGACCACTGATGATGCTGGGGAATGTTCTCTGACCACTGATTCCATGGCATGTTCTCCTACCAATAACCACTGATGCTAGGGAATGTTCCCATACCAATGACTACTGATGCTGGAACATCTTTTTCCTTCCAGTGACCCCTGGTGCCAGTGCTGTTTTTCTTCTTAGTAATTTAAACATATATTTTTGAAAATGTACTAATGTTTTTCCTACGGACCAATGATGTCGGGTATTTTTTGTTATACCAACCATCAAAAGTGGACATTTCTTTTCTGCCAATTCACCACCAATCCCTTCCAGCAATTTAAAGGGCACATGTTACATAATCTTAACTGCTGCACGTGATATGCAGTTAACAGTTGCTGCGTATTAAGTAATGAAGTTCTTCCATAACCGAGATGCAGACAGAAAGAATAAAAAAAAAATAATATTTTGTTCTGACGTTTATGTGTGTTTGTACGGCTCTTACTTTTGGCATGGTAATTACAGAGTATTTAGAGGGTACAAAAACTGAAACAAACATATAAAGTGTATACTGCGCAAACTATATAAATCCTGTATAATAAAAATAATGATAATAATAATACTGTGAGTAGACTCAGACTCTTTAACCATTCTCCTTTGAATTATTCCCAGTATTCAGCATTATTCAGCCATGCCTGCTTTATGCCATGGGGCATCATCTCTTCTCCTGGATGTCCCCCATTATGAAAGACTAAATTTGGGACGTTCGGTAAAGGATATCCCCTTTAGAGATGTCACTGAAATAGGTGTCCCAATGGGCAGATTTACTGTTACCTCCTGTTCTGGTGGCAACCATAATATTTTGGATTTATCATTTCTTTCTGCACCAGTGATAATGGTCTTCAGAACAAATTGGAATGGTGAATATTCCCGTTGAAGCCACCAAATCTAACCCTTTCTTCCTGTATGTGAACAATAAAAAGGTTTGGGTAGAGATACACTTTATCTGTCTCCTCAATACTTACCTTCCCTTTGCCCCCATTCCTGTTGCTCCATTTCCTTACCAAAATTAACAAAAAATACTGTGTGCTTCGGATTATTGGGGGGAGGGGGACATGTGACTAATTACTTTGATGATGAAGTGCCTGAGTGGTCTATCTCCAGAGAGATTCCAGAAAGAATTCATGAAGCTTACTAACTTTGGTAGGCGAAGGACTGGTATTAACATACCTCCCAACCTGCTGAGACAGGAAATAAGAATACCTTTTAGGCAAAGGGCACACACCTGCCAGAACCCAAATCACAGGGATGATGAATAAAAGCATATGAATGATCACTTAAACCCTCAGGGCTATTTTCACCACTTGGGAGCTATGATTTAAGTGAACTCATTGCTTTGCTCTTCATGGAAACAACACGAGTTTGCTTTAAACGTGTTCTGCTTATTAAATAAAATCAAAATAATAAAAAAAAATATATTGTTAGATTGTATTAACGTCATACATACAGTGATCCGAATTCAGCATTGTTTATGACGGTGGTCCTTTAAGGTGGGCAGATTATTTATTTGTTTATCATGATTGATGTTGGATCTACTTCATGGGACATTTATTTTTTGGATTATTTTTAATGAAGGATTTGTAAAAAACTGTATTTTTTTTTTTTTTTAATTACTGGCTGCGTACCCCAAAAGGTGGCCACATGTTCCTGAGAAGTATTACATCTTGCAGCGCGGCTTCCTTCTAATACCCATTTGGAAGAGCTCTCAGATGTTTACCTCCCCTTGTATTGATGGGCCCATTGGTGTATTTAGGTTTTGTGCTGCCCTAGGCAATACAAAAATCGTCTGCCCCCACGGACAACACAACTCCCCCTTCCCCCTCCCGCGGAGAGAGAGCCTGACATTGACCAATAACCACCTTGCCCCCACCTGGGAGATCTTTCCACTACCCCCCCTCCCCCGGAGATAGAAAGACGCTCATCTTCACAGCTCCGGACATCCCTGGGAACGAGAGTCAGGCTCTACATACACCATGAAGCAGCCTGCAGCCTCTCTCAGATCCCACCCCTGGTTCCCATGGTGCACTTGTCCCTTCTTTCATTCCTTCTTCTGGGGGGAGGTGCTGCCCCCCTAAAAAAAACGCTGCCCTAGGCAAGTGCCTTGTTTGCCTTGTGGTAAATACGCCCCTGGATGGGCCAGAGAACAGAAGCATGAACACCTGGGTGTCAGCAACCTTAACCCCTTCCTACCTCCCTAGGCAGCCTGTCTACACACTGGCATAAGTGGAAAGTCTGACTACAGCTTATTTTACAAGCAAACATTTATTACATGACAAAGGATTCCCAGTGCACTCTGTGTTACCTAATACTGCAGAAGATGCTGCTTGCTTTGCAGCTTCTTTGTCTGCTGGAAAGCTACTATCAGGGGTGGACTGACAAGTCATGGGGCCCCCGGGCAATAGGGGATCATGGGGCCCCTGTGTCCTTGCCCAAACTCAAAAAAGCCTATGAAAAAGGTACCAGGGGCATCTCATGGGGCCCCTTACTGACCCCAGGCCCTCGGGCAGTGCCCGAGTTTCCAAATGGTCAGTCCGCCCCTGGCTACTACTGAGTTATCTGATTAGAGGTTAATTGCTGCTGTGATGATGCATTGTTCTATAAATAATAGATTACTTTCAGGCTTCATTACAAGGACACAAACTGAGAGAGTGAAAAACATGAAAAGGGGACTAGAGTGCCATCTACTGCCTCAAAAAGAGATTGCAATATATTACTATGCAATCTTTAAAAAAGGAGGAAAATTTGACATTTTTAATACTGACCATAAAAAATAAAATATGTACAAATCCTCTATATATTCCCTATAACAGTGCCCCATGTCTTTGGCTTTGCCAAACATCTGTGATCTAATTAGTAGCAAGTAACTGTGTTGCTGGGCTGCAAAACAGGTGTGAACAAACATCCTATTAGTCTTCCTTTCCCTTGTGTAATGCCCTCATGCCTAGCTGTCTGTCATTTCCTGAAAGTTTATGAATAGATCTACTATGTGTGACTGATCAAATCTGAAGTCACAGGTTTATATCTGGACTACTGTCCCTTCCACATGTTGCGGACACCGGGAGAGAACTGCGCTTTTCACAATCTACATTTCAGCCGTGATTAAAGGAAAACTCCTGCCTGGTTATAGACACCAGAGAGATGCTCCTTGTCTGCTATAAACAATACTTTTCTTTTTTCCTACTGGATTGCAGAATTCCCTGTGCTGGTTGTGACAGAGTTAAGTGATATTAAACCTTAACATATATATTGAATATACAGTATTGCCGCTTATCAATCCCTAAATGTGGTGGTTGCATTTTTAAAGGTTTTTGTTTTTCCTTTATTTGACCTGATGATACGGCCAGTAACACACTTCCTATCTTAGGGTGTCTGTACTCTATGAAGGACCAATAGAGACACCTTTGAGCAGCAGCATTGTCAATCTGGGAAGAGGGGAGTGTTAGGCTGGCCATACACTATACAATTTTCTGTCCAATTTCTGCCTAAATTTCCTTTAGATTTACCTTCAACATATGTAATGCAAGAGCCTGCCTAATTGGATACAATTGGAAGTGTTGTTAGTTTTGATCTCCTATTATATGGTTTTTGGTAAATCTAAACCAAAAATCTTAAGAAAATTGTATAATGTATGGCCAGCCTTAGATGTACTAGCAGATTAACTAACAAATAAAACTGAACTCCAGCTAACACCTTTAAAGTGATTCTAAAGGCATACATTAAAAACAAACAAACAAACATGTCTATATTTACCTGCTCTGTGTAGTCATTCTACACAGAGCAACCCGGTGACTCTTCTTCTCCTGTCCCCCGCCAACGCTCCTGGCCCCTCCCTTCTGTTGGGTGCCCCCACAGCAAGCAGCTTGCTAAAGGGGGCACCCGAGCATGCGCACTCCCCAGCCACTGCTCTGTGTGTCCATTCACACATGGAGCCACGGCTCAGCCCTGCCCACTCTCTCTTCTTATTGGCCCACTGGCTGTGATTGAAAGCAGCGGGCTTTTCTGTGTCTCACTGGTTGAAGGTTTGACTGCTTCCCCCTGCCTTCTGGAGGGTTCTGGAATGTAGTAGGCTGCGAGAGTCAAAAAGGCAGCTGTAATATTTGTGGTCCCAGCCAATCCCTGGGGGAGGGAGCCCAGTAGGTGGCAGGGGAGTGTATAAATAGTATGAGGCCTGGACCAGAGGAGTTCTTGTCCAGGAGAAGAAGATCCCAGCCTAGTTCAAGTTTAATGAAGCATCAGAAAGAGAATACCCCTAGACTCAGGGCCGCCATCAGGGGAGGACAGCCCACACACATGCAGTGGTGTATTTAGGTTTTGTGCTGCCCTAGACAACACAAAAATTGGATGCCCCCCCCTCCCCAGTGGAAAGAGCCTGACAGCGACCTTTCAGGGCTACACCGCGGATCGCTTTTCAGAGGCATGTGATATGCTGCTTCCTCACTACCTATTTTAACCTCCTAAATGCTGCACTATTGTGCTGCAACCACACACATTGCACTCAGCTACAGCGTAGTTGAAATGTGACCCTATGCACTTGAATGAGTTTTGTTTGGTGCAGGGCTGGTGCTAGACTATTTTGTGCCTTAGGCAAGACCAGCTACTTGCGCCCCCCCCCCCAAAAAAAAAGTATTAAAAAACAGTAGAAAATATTAAATCAACAAAAATTTAAACTGCCACCAACACCAATATTAAAGTCAAAAGCAGTGTCACGGATGGACTGTATCTGTGGCAGGCAGTGACAGGGTGACAGTTGCAGTGACTGGAGGAGGATGGATCCACAGTCTGTGACCAGGGGCGGACTGACAACTCATGGGGCCCCCGGGCAATAAGAGATAATGGGGCCCCCTGTGTCTCCGCCTACACTCAAGCCAAAGCCACACCCACACAACACCCCACCTACATATTGCAGCCCAGCTGCATAGAAAGGGCATTAAAAATAATAATAAAAAAAAATAAAACAACATCGTGGGGTCCCCCCTCCATTCATACCAAGCCCTTCGGGTCTGGTATGGGTTTTTGAGGGGAACCCCCACGCCAAAATAAAAAAAAAATGGTGTTTGCCCCCCCCCCCCGAAGATCCATACCAGACCCTTATCCGAGCATGCACCCCGGCAGGTCAGGAAAGGGGGGGGGCAAGCGAGCCACATGCCCTCAACATGGGGGGGTGCTTTGGGGGGTTACCCCCCAAAGCACCTTGTCCCCATGTTGATAGGGACAAGGGCCTCTTCCCCACAACCCTGGCCTGTGGTTTTGGGGGTCTGCGGAATCTGGAAGCCCTGTTTAGCAAGGGGGCCCCCAGATCCCACCCCCCCATGTGAACGAGTATGGGGTACATGGCATCGTGATTGATGTTGGATCTACTTCAGGGGACATTCTTTTATTTTTCTTCTTTTAATAAAGGACTTGTCAAAGACTGTCTCCTATCTTTTTTCACACTACATTTTTATTTGTGAATGGGTAGCGGTACCATGTACCCTACACTCATTCACATGGGGGGGGGGGGTGGGATCTGGGGGCCTCCTTGCTAAAGGGGGATTCCAGATTCCCCTACACCCAAAGCACCCCCCCATGTTGAGGGCATGTGGACTGATATGGTTCAGGCAGGGGGGCGCTTGCTTGCCCCCCCCTTTCCTGACCTGCCGGGCTGCATGCTCGGATAAGGGTCTGGTATGGATTTTGGGGGGACCCCCACACCATTTTTTTAAAATTTCGGAATGGCAGTTCCCCTCAAAATCCATACCAGACCCAAAGGGCTTGGTATAGATGGAGGGGGGACCCCACACCGTTTTTTCATTATTGTTTTAATTGTCGGCAATTCTTTCTTTTACATTCAGCTGTCAGTGGGGAATCCCGCTGATTGCTGAAACATTACCGCATGGTTTTCATTACTAAAATACCGCATGACATGATAAAGTAACTTTAGTAGCATTTTTTGGTAAATTCAAACTTTAAAAAAAAAAAAAAAAAAAAGCGGTATCCTACCGCATACTCGGATGCGGTAAGATACCGCTTAGTGAATTGTGCCCAATTAGCCTCTCACAGGCCCTCTACTGACCCCGGGCTCTCGGGCATTGCCTGAATGCCCGAATGGTCAGTCTACCCCTGCCTGTGACAGCAGGCAGTCCAGTCCACATACACAGAGAGAACACCTGAACTGAGCGATCCCACGCTGTGACAGATCCAATACAACACACCATTACCAACACTGACACAGATCAGCAGGCCCCAGCAGGCACTAGAAGAGCAGGATGTGGGATCATGAGTATGTCATCACTCACTGGCACATTGCACATGTGATGGATGACTGGCCGGCCAGGTCATACTCACACAGACATGAGACATCAGAGTCAGACATTACCTTTCACCGCAAGTGCATGGGAAGAGAAGGGCTGGAAGTCCACAGATCAGAAGCCGCCAACCGGCTTATAGTAAGGGACTGAGTCTGAGAGGAACACTGGAAGGAGCTGTTACATTGGCCCCATAAACACGGCATCTTCCCCTGTCCTTATTTCTTCCCCTCTGCTGCCCCTCCCCTCAGCTGCAGTATTATTCATGACGTGGCAGCGTTCCACACAAAGAGAGTGCTGGCCTGTGCTGCGCCCAGGTGTCCCTAGATGGCAGTGCGCCATAGGCGGTTGCCTAGTTTGCCTAGTGGAAGCACTGAGTCTGGTGTGGTGGGTGGCAATGCCTACCAAACACTACTGGGGGTATAAATACTGCTACAGTCGTGAAAGAAAGGATTGTGGCTACGGCATGTGTACACCGAAAGCTGCTGCCATTGCAGATTACGGGGGAATGGCTCTAGGAGTGTGTGTGTGTGTGTGTGTGTGGGGGGGGGTGCTGGTGCAGGGCTCAGCTGCTTGTTTTTAGTACTTACTTCCCAATTGCATGTGAAAAGCAGGCCTTATGCTATAACTGCATGAACTTGTACATACCATAGCTTTCAATCTTTCAAGCACTTTAAATGCATTTTGGTGTCATTCATTTTGAGTAGCACTCCAATGCACTAAGCCAAGGCATATCCTTTGCAGCACACTGCAGTGCATCATTGGGTGTTGTGGTGCATCATGTTACAATTTATGTGATGCATTCAATTTTGGGGATGCTTGTCTGCATTGGCAGGCCATTATTTTCAATGGGCTGCCATAATGTGCAATAACGCACCACAAATCTGTACATTGGCCCTTAGTGATTGTATCCCATTGTGTGTAATGGGCAATTCACAATGCACCAAGGCAGCCTTCACTCAGAGGCCTCATGCACACTGGACCTTTTCCGATCTCTTACCTCCTGGCAGCGGTATTTTGGCAAAAGAAAACGCTTGATGCCTTTAAACACATGTACTGCGTTTAATGCGTTTAGCTGCATCAAGCATTTGGGTGTTAATTTAATTGGCCAGAATATTAATTTATTCTAGTCAATGAAATAGTTAATGCTCTAGTGTTGCCGTGCCTAGCATTATTGCCACGTTTGCACGCATCAATTCTGTTTTTGTCAAAACGCCACTGCTCCTGAATGCTCTGGCAGTATTTTTTTCACCCTCTATACGCCCCTGCCTCTAAATGCCCTTGTGTGTATGGACACATAGGCTAACATGGGGGTGTTTAGAGGCAGGAGAAACAAGAGACGCCCCCTAGGAGCAGCAGAAAAATGTCCAGTGTGCACGAGGCCTGAAACTGGCTTCATTTTACAGGCCCGGTCAAATAGTTCACAGAATGCTGAGCTTTCCTCGAAGCCCCCCTTTAATTTCCAGTCCATTTATTTATATTTAAGCCCCCTCGCCCCCGGACCTTTACACACAAATGATCTCATAAGAAAGGTGTCGCTGAGTGTAATATCTCAATCTTCCTTTCTATCAGCCTCTCCAGCTCATTCACCGCAGATGGGGGGGCGATCATAGAGCGTCACAGGCCGGTGCGCGGCATGGGGGGGGGGGGATGCTTTGCTGACCAAAATCACATTCCGCTGGACCACCTTGATGTTTGCACAGCTGCTCGAATTCGGGTCACATCATCTGCAAGTGTGACTAAAACCGCAACGCAGGTGTTATTTTTAAACGTGTTTTTTTTTCAGCCCCCCCCTTTTAAAGGTAAACCCGCGATTCTTTTTTATTTATTCGAGCGACCACAGATTTTAAACTTCCTTGGCTCCATAAAGTGCCGTCTATCTCTCTTGGCTCTATTCCCCCCTGGGACTGAGCACTTCATACAGGGCCCCTTGTTAGGTGAATTTCCTGACATTACCAGTGGCCCGAGCAAAGGCCCTCATTTTTTTTTTTTTATTCCCAGCCTCCATAGTCGCCTCTTAACCTGAAGAAGCATTTCACTATTTGTATTATTCTTGGCAGGGTCGCCCCGGCACTTTGTGAACACAGAGGTGAGTGTGCTATAGGTATGTGGCGGTGAAAGTCAGCATATCGTGTTTGTCTTGGAGCCGCTGGACGGGGAATTAGCTCAGCTGAACTGCTAATTACCTCTGAAGTGCGGGCCCTGCGAGAAGTAGGCTGCAGTTATGGGCTGGTGGGGGCTACTGGAGTTTGGGGGGGAAAAGTGACAACGCTTAACTGTTTCAGAGCAGGTGCAGGGGTGACTGGACCAGTTAAACAGGTGCCAAAGGTTGAAGCAAGGTTAGAGTTGACACTACACCATATTCCTCCAGAAATAGTCCATACACTTCCACTACTGTTTTCATGAAGCTGTTTCTTTCTCTATTTTTCCTTGTAACATCCGTTTCTGAGCCCCCGCACCTCTATTTCCCCCCCCCTGCTTCTGTTTGTTAGGAATGAGCATTGCACCTTAAGGTGGTCATATATGGATTGAAATTCAGTCGGTTCAGCAGGGACCAGCCAAATTTTGATCCATATACAGTGAAGGAAATAAGTATTTGATCCCCTACTGATTTTGAATGTTTGCCCACTCACAAAAAAATGATCAGTCTAAAAATCGAATGGTAGGTGTATTGCAATACTGAAAGACAGAATAGTAACAAAAAATTTAAAAGAAATGCATGTCTAACAAATGATGCACTGATTTTCATGTTCATGAGAGAAATAAGTATTTGCTCCCCTATCATTCAGCAGGATTTATGGCTACCAGGTGTCTTTCATACAGGTAACAAGCTGAGATTAGAAGCAGTCTCTTAAAGGAAGTGATGATAATCTCATTTTGTTACCTGTATAAAAGACCCCTGTCCACAGGAGCAATCATACAATCAGATTCCAAACTCTCCACCATGGCAAAGACCAAAGAGCTGTCCAAGGATGTCAGGGACAAGATGGTAGACCTACACAAGGCTGGACTGGGCTACCAAACTATCGCCAAGCAGCTTGGTAAGAAGGTGACAACAGTTGGTGCAATCATTCGCAAATGGAAGAAACGCAAAACAAGTTTTTCCTCAGTGTGTTCAATGTTTCTAGGATTTGGTCCCATTTAATATTTTGTAGTAGTGAGCATTGTTTAGAAAAGTTGGCTTTTTTGAAATTTTGTGTTCTTGTACTACCCCCCGTGTCTCCTTTTAATATGATTTATGCTGAATGTAATTATGTTGTGATCACTGGTTCCCAAGTTGTCCCATATTTCCACTTCTGCATCCAAATCTGTGTTATTTGTAGTTAATAGATCTAACAATGCATTTCTAGTTGGGGCATCCACCAATTGTCACATAAAGTTGTCCTGTAAGACATTTAAGAAATTACGAGCCTTAAAGTGGTTGTAAAGGCTCAAGGCTTTCTTACCTTCATGTATTCTATGCATGAAGGTAAAAAACGTTATGTGTGCAGTAGCGCCCCCAGCTCCATCAATACCTACCTGAACCCCATCGCAATCCATCATTGTGCACAACAGCTTTTGCTGTCTCGGGTCTCTGTCTCCTCATTGGCTGAGACAGCAAACGGGAGCCATTGGCTCCCGCTGCTGTCAGTCACAGCCAGTCACCCAATGAGGAGAGAGAGAGGGCAGGGCCAAGCTGCGACTCCGTGTGTTAATGGACACACGAAGCAGCTTCTTGAGCACACGCCTGCTTAGGTGCCCCCATAGCAAGCTGCTTGCTATGGGGGCACCCGACAGAAATGAGGAGCCAGAAGCACCGGTAGGGGAACAGAGAAGAGGAGGATCCGGGCTGCACTGTGCAAAACCAATGCACACAGCAGGTAAGTATAACATGTTTGTTATTGCCCCCCCCCCAAAAAAAGCAAACCTTTAGTATCGCTTTAAATGAGTGGGCTATACCTTCTGCCCAGTCAATATCTGGGTAGTTGAGGTCCCCCATTATGATGACGTTTCCCTGCCTTGATGACATTTCTGTGATAGGAGATTCAACTCCTCTTCATCCATCAGACTAGGGTGCCTGTAGCATAACCCCACTATTAATTTCCCACTTGTTTCTTCTCATAGGGCCTCCACATACCCCCTTGCCCCATTTGCAATGTTGTCTCTCTCGTTCACTAACAAATCATTATTGATATACAGGCATATCCCTCCTCTTCTTCTACCCTCCCTGTCCCTCTGATACAAGGGATACCCCTGGATAGTTGCTAACAAGTCATGTGAGCTGTCAAACCAAGTTTCTGATGTTCCTACAAAGTCGAAGTCCTCTTCGTGTATCATAAGCTCCAGTTCGTTCATTTTGTTAGCTAGACTCCTGGCATTTGTGTACATGCTTCTTAGTTAAGTACAGGTGCATATTATTTCCTTCTTAGTTGTTCTGTGGCTGCATTTTTGTTTTGCCAACCCACTTACCCAGTTTTAGGTTTTATGGTTATAGCACCCTCTAAACTTCCCCTACTGCTGGATTTTGCTTCCTCTGATAACTCCCTTCCGCTACCTGGTTTAAAAGCCCCTCCAACTTTTTGGCCATCCACTCCCTCAAAAGAGCTGCACCCTCCCCATTAAGGTGCAGTCTGTCCCTACTATAGAGCTGGTAACCGACTGAGAAGTCAGCCCAGTTCTCCAGGAACCTGAAACACTCTTTCCTGCATTAATTTCTCAGCCACTTGTTAAGATCTTTTAGTTGCCTCTCTAATGAGGCTCGAGGTACAGTAAGTATCTCTGAGAATACCACCTTGGAGGTCCTCCTCTCCAATATAGTCCTTAAAATAATTTTTTAGGATGCTCTACCTTCCTATAACTTTGTCATTGGTACCAATGTGTACCATGACAGCTGGGTCCTCCCCAGCCCCACCCAACAATCTGTCCATCCGATCCATGATAAGTTGAACTTGAGTGCCTGGTAAACGATGGACTGTTGACAAGTTGACAAAACTAAACTACCTCCTTG